AATGTCGCACGGATCTAAGTTTTCTTTTTACGATCATATAAAGAAATGCGATTTATCAATTACATACTAACGTCAACCGTTACCTTCAACTACGTAATCGTCATATTTAATGCAAATTAACAAGAATAAATATTTGATACATACAAATGAAATTGTTCGAACTAACATTCTACGTCCCAATTTCTAATAATAGGAAAACACAAGCGTAAATCATCATCTTCTCAAGCGACAGAATTAACCTTCGTAAAAGGAATCAAACGTGTAAATGGCTTAGTGTGACGATACACGCGATAAAATCTCTAATCCGTAGAATGGTAACTAAGCTTGTGAATATATCTGAACCTTGATAGGAAATCTCACATTTCAAACATTTCACACGTTAGAATACATTGCTATACCTTCTTGAGGGATTTTAACAAAGTCCCCTACAAAAATACGGTATTTTTTGAAAACAAAGAACATTCACACCATTTTTTTTCACTAAATTACTCAAATATAGATAGTACCTGGCGTTTCCAGCGTTCTCCACAAATTCCATCGTCACTTGACAGTAAACGATCTTCACCGCGAACATGGTGCACCGGCATCGTTCACGTTCACGGGGCAACGTCGTTCAGCGTCGGTTTCGATCGCGTTTTCAGAACAGAAATGAATGTTTCCAGGCGAGGTACCCGAGCGAATTTCGATGTACGCTTGTCGCAGGCCCTTTGTCCTGCACGCAAGTGCGTGCACATCAGGTGAAACGGACAGAAACGCGCGTCAAAGCGGATGTCCGGTATGTTCCGCTGTGCCGGCCTCTTTTCCCTCGTTCTGTCGATCGCTCTTTCGATTACATCGAACATCGCGTCGCGAACCGACCCGACTAATTAACCATTCGACGCACGTTTGTTGAATTTCGCTCGATTCCCGATTTTTCTGTCGTTATCGTTTCGCGATAGTCGAGGACGGAAAATGGAAAAAATCGACGTATATCACGTGAAACGTGATTCAAAACCTCTTTGTGTTTGCAAATTGTTTCAGGCAGATGATAATTGAATTTATAAGAGAATGTGATAGGTATTGACGATTGAAAGACTAATTGCGTCACATTGAGTGCGAAGATTATTTGTTTCGCTGGAAAATTTGATCGCTAATGAGATGCTAATTATTGGCGAGCTTTTTGCTTTCAATGGAAGACAAGCGTTTTTTTTATGTCTAACTTCAAAATTATAGCAAATTATAGAGTATTTTCCGACGATTATTTATACTAGAATTTCTTCTTTTGAATGAGAGAAAGAAAACTTGGATGATTCTGACATTAACGTAGATTAAAGTTGTTTTACGTATATGATGAGCTCAACAAGCATCTATTTTTATTTTAGAAAAGTTTAAACAATTAAGTGTATAATATTTAATATGTAATATTTTAATCATTTTCCATTATTTGTTATATAGTTATAAGAAGGAACTCCTTGAATTTGCTGAATATTTTTCTCATTTTTATATCTCCTCCTAACGATATAACGAGGAATAAGGTAATTTATTTCACTCGTAACAAATGTAACCGAACCAATTACCTTTTATAAAACCAGAAATATTTCTGAACGATGAATTAACTTTGCTTTCGTTATAGGGTTCAAAAAAAGTTGATTAATATGATTTCTCAATGCTCAGAAAGAGCGTTTCGATGTTACTCGTTTTCAATTGCTTTAACGAGAACGCTTTCGTCTGCCTGTTGAAAATGTTTTCCTGATACAAAATGTGTATATGAAACCGAAGGAAGTTCCTGTAGTAATTATACTAGAAATTACTGTCCGGAACGACGATTTGCTTTTCATTACACCCGCCTTTATTAATCAATGCCACGGTTCGAAATTTCTACAAAATAGCTGCTCTCCAACGCAGATTCGCCTCGAATCGATTATACGTATATATTGACGAATTTACTGCATCTCCTATTTACATAAGACCTTAATTCAATGAAACGTACAATACTAAATTGGAAATAAAGGCGAAATTCCAGCAAACAGTTGGCAGACTCGTTAGTAGAATCGCAGAACAAGAAGATAGAATTTCTCGAGTTTCTAGAACCGCTTAATTAGCGGAACTATGACAAGCGTGCAATTTATTAAATAAGATAAATCCACTCAAAGGAACAATATTGAAAATTTCCATGCAAATTTCGTTAGTCACGTATATTTAACATAAAATGAAGATATAATTTCTCGAGAATCGTATGAACTAGTTTATAAATAATAATGAGTTTAAGAATCATTTAATCTCGACTAATCACGGCAAAATTCATTTCATACGCTGTAAATTATCTTGCAAGATAATCTACGTTTCATTAGTGCGAACTAATTCGAATAATGTAGGTGTGGATGGAACGAAAAGAAAATTGTTAGATATACGAAATTAAAATTGTGATAATTGCAAATGAGAAGATAATCAAACTTTATATGTGAAATTATATCATCTTTTCTACTAAAACTTCTCTCTCTGGACGATTTTCAAATTTCGCGCGGCGACGAGCGCGGTAACGACGCGCAATTTCGTAGTGAATGCGCATACTCTGGAAAATAGTTGCATACAAGTAATCAAATAAAATATCGATCATTATGAAATTCTACCACGTTACTTTCTAAAGAATCCAATCTTTTCTCTCTCCAAAATTACATTCTGTATTTTCTATTTTGTACACCATGTTATCAAAGAAAAGGATATACATGAACTCAGATCGTAGTGCCGAATGATCCTTTGCTGAAACTTTTCCTGAAACAAGAAATCTTTTTTCATATCTTGAAACAGGCATAGTTTTAACAAATTTTACTTTATTTACCAAATTTCTACTCTTGCGCAATTTAATTAATATTATTAATGAAATTTTACGAGCTACAAGTTATTAGTGTTAACAAATTCTTTTTTACATAACAGTAATAAGTTTGCTAATAATAAGTAATATAAAAAATGAAATTTTACAAGTAAATTTTACAAATTATAAGCCATCCGGTTATCCTTTTTAACTTAAATGAAAACTTGTAACGAAGAAGTTTATAATTTACGATTTGTTTCGTTTCAATCGATCGATGTTATTGGTCGATAAGGTGTTGTGCAAAAGGGTCCTAATATATCCTAATATTTATGAGAGTAAAACACGATGAAAGCGGGAACGTTTAAAAACCGAGACGCGAACGCGCGCAAGGTCTCAAAGAGAATGTCGTAATTAGACCACGACCGCGCTAATAAGCGCAGTCTGACCGTGTCGAAATTCCACTAATTAACAATTAATCGTCCACTAATCATAAGATAGTATCTCATTCGAACGGTTTCAAACTAAAACGGTGTACGGTTTTTCTCGTCAGCGAAGAGTTTCCTAAAAGGGTTCCAACTCGGAAACTGCGGCGTATACCTCCGTATAATTCGTTGTGGCATTCCTCGTGCTTAAGCAACGAACGATACAACGATCCCGACGAATAATGAAAGATAACCAGGGAATAGATTAATATCATCGTCAGCCATCACTATATACTGTATAGTTTCTGCTCTGATATTTATGCACCGTAGAGAAGTTCCAAGCGATTTTTCGAGTTCATTAAAAATCTGGGCCAGCGTAGTTGCCCCTCTAATACCGTATAAAGCAATTAACTTAGAGCGAAGCTAATTTCCATTGTACTTAATTTCCCTCCCTCTTTCTGTATCGTATCTTTTCTCTTTTCTCCTTGTCATCCCCTTATTGTCGTCTTGCTACATGTTATTTAATTAAGAAGGAAGAATTTAAATAGCCTCGCTCACTTTAGCAAATGATCGTCATAGTTAAATGAATTATGAATTATTGGCGCCTTTTCTACGCTATATATTTTCTAAATATTTTAATGAGGCATTTCCACCGTTATTTAATGTTGAGTTCCTACTGTATGGCTTTCTGGAAAATTTTCTTGTGAAGACAAATCACTCACCGATGGCATTTTTGACGTTGCCTCTCCTGTACCCATAATGCCTCTCCAAGGGTATGGGTTCCGCTTTGCACTCCACCCATGGTCGACCCTTGAACGACGAGGCCTGTGATAAATTCATCATTAACGAATCATCATTTCCACGCCAATATCGTTATACATATTAACGTAATAAACTACATCCATACAAAATACGTTCGTAGAATATAGACATAATAATAGATCGTTATTGATCGATCAATTATTCGCAATAAGTTTTAAGATAACGTCCACTTAGACCGTGAAACACGCTAATTATAAGTTCCCTGCATAAATGAATAACAAGCGAAATAGTGCGGCTGTTCAATTCATTTTCACGCCTCGATCGGAAATTATACGAATTTTATTTACAACCCCGATAACGGGACCGCGTTTCATGTTTTCCTACTTATTATGCATTTTACCATTCCTAGTTTCTTTCTTTTTAATTCCTGTATTTCACGGTTAATTTACATGAGGAATTTTCTTCCGGTAAAATGCTATTATGCGAATGATATATCATGCGTGCCGTGTTTCTTTGCGAATGGAAAAAAGAAATTGACTGTAAACGAGGCGGATGCAAAAAAATTAAAAATATTTCTTGTCATTAAAAAAATGTTACAAATAATAAATGGAGTTCTTGGTTTGCAGTTATGCTTGACATGTGTAATATATAGAATGATTACCTCTATAATAACTAGTAACCGTGTCTGCGTACAGATGGCGTTTAGGGGATTACGCTTTCCCGCTAGTGAAATTGATCAATCATGTATAAAATATCGGACTTACGATATGATCGGTAGAACCGAGAATTGTTCCTACGTTAATTTTATCTAGAAAGGGTCAAACTTACAGTTTTGACCCACGAATGAAATTCTAAAAATAATATTATATTCCATATTTAGGAAGGTTAAAATGTTATTAGTACCATATATTTTTGTAATTGTTTCTTATTTCTTTCATAGTTTTATATGGAATAATATTTAATGGGTAACTTGCTCATTACAGCTTCTCATATGACCAGTATTTTCCCATGAATTTCAATTCCACCAAGATAGACATATCGTGTACATTCTTTTTTTTCTTTTTAAATTCTAAAATTTAGATGGATGGATAGTTCAACGCCAGAAGCATTTATCCGGAAATTCGTATAAGGATTCATTGGAAACAGTATTAATTGATGGATGATTTAGTCATTACATTTAGACATTAATATACGTTTTTGAATTGATCGATTAGTTTTTGAATAACGTTACGCATTCAACACGATCGTTTTACGTGTACATATTTCACCTACAACATCGGCAAATCAACCGACATAAAAGCACAACCGAGGCAGAATAATATTCCACTAGAAAATGCACGTTTTGGAACGGTACACACACTGGCTTATCGTAAATCTCACTTCAGCAAGAGTACGAGGAAATCCAGAGGGATTTAACCAAAAACCAAATTTGCCATGCACTTGTCGCACAAACATCGAAGTGCATACACCAGGATAATACATTATTCGCCTACCCTTGGGAAAATCCCCGACGATCAATCGTCGTGCATCCTTGAAGAGGCCACGCCACGCGAAGACGTTCACTGAAGCACAATGAAAAGCACGCGACAAGGAAAACGAACCCTCTCTGTTTTCTTTTCTTCCTTTTTCCCTTTTTTCTTTTTCTTTTTTTTTCTTTTTTTCTGCGCACCAAGGAAGCACGTAGGATAATATCTGCGCGCACGATTCACTTATTAGTTGAACAGAATCCAGAGATAGACTGGTCAGCACGGGAAACTTCGCCACCACGAACTTTTCATAGAGTCAGGAAGAAGGGAGGACGACACCAAAAGGTGGTGGTAGCATCTTTGCCACTTCCAGCGACGAGCTACGAATCGTCGAAGAAGCTAGAGTTGGCCACTCTCGTGGGGGCGGACTAATTGTCGGACGTTGCGCCTTTGCTCATCGTCGAGAAGAATTAATCACGAACATACCGAATTTTACTCGAACTACTTCCTTTTCTTCCGATCGAACACTTTTTAATGATGTTATCGAATCGTAGTCGCGGAAGAATTACATAGTTTCCCTCTCGGAACCGGAAATTGATACACTACTCGGGTTTCGTGTTCTGTGATTCTCGTACAAGTACGTATATTAAAAACGAGTATTAAATTCAGAATGAAATACTAGTACGGAATATTTACAATTAATATGCCATAATTATTAATGTATAGTATATTTTTACAGAGTTCTGGAATTCTGCGTGTAACTTTGGAAGTGATTCAATAGATGTGATCCAAATAAATAGAAAATTAAACTACGCCTCTTTTAGGGCCATGCTCACAACAGTGTGATGTAAATGAGAAGGAGTATTAATAGGGAGAAAAAGATATGATCGATGAGGGATACGCAGGAGTTATAATATAATAGGGAAAATGAAGAGTTACCTAGAAGCAAAAGAATTAATATAAAGCGCGGAGGAGTTGAAGGTATTAAATATCCAAGAAAGGGAAAAACCAACAAAAAAAAGAAAGAACATGGAATTGGAACGATGAAATGGCAGAAGAAATAAACGATGAAGTATTTAGGATTACACTCTTCAAAAACGACGGGGGATCGGAGAAGCGTTTGGGTGAGACGGCTAGAAAGGCCATGATAACCATAAAACAAACGTAGGAAATGGATGAGAGAAGGTTCAAATATAACCTGGAAAGGAGATCAATAATTTTTGGTAGTTTGGTAAAAAGCGTCATGCCGTACACAGTGGGAATATGGGGATAAAGGGACTAAGAAAAGTAGGACAAATTACGAACAAGATACATAAAGTGGGTCCTAACAATAAGATTTTAGCACACCCTCGTATATAGCGATGGAAGAAACAAAAGTGGACGAATTAAGAATAGAAGCGGGCAGCAGAGCAGTAAAGTATGAAGAAAAATCGAGGACAAGGTATATAAACAGTAGTTTACAGAAACTAATGTTCGAGGACTGGAAAAAGATGGACTGGAAATGGGTAGAAGAGAGAAAACGATACTACGAGGAGAAGAGCATAAACCTAATGGAGCTCGGGGTAACATAACAGTAGCCCTAATACTGTTTGACAGGACAGAGCAGCAATATGACAATATGACAGAATGGTAAGAGGAAAACACGACGGAAAATATGGAGAACTAAGAGAGAAAAGCAGAACAGAGTATTTGAAGAAGGAATCAATCAATGATAGGACGACTCGGATACATAATGAAGAAAGGGTTAATAAATTCTGAATAGAATCCCAGGAAAAGAACTGTCGAAGAACTGTAAATCTCTTTACCTGTGAACGATCTCATAGAAGAATGCAGACAAGTTGAAAGAGATAAAAGATTAGTCAGTATTGCACAGAAAGTAATGAAAATATTGTATTGGTGTATTGATTTTATAAGTACAACCATTTGCCAACTACTTTTCAAGGAATGATTTAACGCGTCGATAAAATAATTCACAAACATCTAATTTGTTGAAATCGAGCGAGCCTCGTTATTACACAAGCATCACCAGAGAAACCGGTTGTTGCTCGATTCTAGCGAGCATAATTCCTTCCGGCGTTCGTTTCATGCTATCATACGCTTTTCAAAAGCTACCGTTTACACAAGCCCGGGCATTCCCTCCCAGCTTTCCACATAATAAAACAATTCGATGAAATTTGCCAATCACGAACATTGCTTACCTATTTGTAAAAATCAAATTTCTCGTCTCATAATATTCATCTAAATCCAGTTACGACTGTCACGAAAAATGGTATAAAATTTAATTACATACATAATTTTGGGGTAATAATTCAAATAAGTTTGGGAATAGGTATCGTTCCCTGAATTTGGAATTCCAGACCAATAAGAATAAAATCCTACATTTTCCGATATCCACAAGCGTACTCTTGACCAATAATAAGTTCTCTTACTGCCAGCAGTCGAGCCAAAGTGTTCCAGCTTCGTGGATGCATTTTTCAAAGATCGCATAGCCGGATCGCGGCGCTCGGTTCCGTTCTGCTTACAACAGAAAGATCCACGTACTCGTCGTCCCATTCCGATCTCCACACTCTAATACCTTTCCTCATATCAACGGTTGCTAACCAGGTTAACGCGATCCAGCTCTCGATCATACGACCATCACGCGAATGAATTCACGGAAACAGCGAGTTTCGTTCGCTGAACAATCCTTTTCTTTCTCCTGTGAAAAATATCACCGAGATAACGACGATGTTAAATGGGATTACACAGCTGAGAATACACAGTTTGAATGGAATCTATTAACACAGAAAATTCAGTATTAAGGCAAATCCCTTGGTCTGGTTGGAAGGCAAACAATTTACACTTGGCTAGCAGGTGCTTTTGTTACTTGTAGAGTATCGTATTCGGCTTAATTAGGTTGAAATAGGACTTCCTTTGCTTTAAGCATGTATAATTAGGGTTCCTTTCAGTTTTCTATTTAATCCTCCCTTATTATAATTTGCCTTCTTTTATTTTCTTTTTCTCCCTCTATTCTTTTTCAAGTCCTATTTAATCTTTCAACTGGGCCATTCATTGGTCAAACATATCTATACTCTTGAAAGTCAAAGTTAATGAAGAGAGATCAATTTCAGCTATGTCGATGGTGATTTTACTTAATATAAACATTATAGAATTGATTTTCATATTGATACGCTAAAACACGAGGAATTCAAATAATAAGATTATTATATGTAACATAAGTTACAAATCTGAGTGAGACGAGTCAAATCGTTTTCCCTGTTTAACAAATTAAAAATAACTAGCGCCGATTTGATTTATTCGATAAATTTTCTGATAAAAACACACTTAGAATAATTCATTTTATCGCTACGATAAAATATAGATAGTTTGTTTGTCCAAATGCCTCTTTATTTATGGTTCTATTAATCGAGACATACATACAGAATACTATTTATCTTCAATATTGAACCATCAGTTATATTATGAAGAGAAATGACTCGATTTTATTCGAATAATATATTATCGAAAAGACAACCATATTGCAATATTTCTCATCGATAACAATTTTATTTTCGAAATTTGTAGCTGCGAGACAAGAAAAATTGAAACTCTCACCGAATATCTATCATATCCTTAAAATTCGAAGTTTCTGCTCCCATTTTCTCGATCCATTGAGCGAAGAGACCTGAAGCAAACGATTCTATCGTCATTAATATTTTACGAAGTAAGTCTGACAGTACAAGAATACGAAGAAGCTACGCGAAAAGAAAGTCGAAGAAGCTCTAGAGAATAGTTATTTCTGTCGCGACAATTGCTGTTTCAACTGACGTACACGATACAAAAAGCTCGCGGAGTTAAATCCCATTTCAATCGCGGCTCTCCTAGATTCGTCTTCTTTTCGAAAGAAAGGAGTTTACACTTGAAGCTAGAATGCTGTAAGAAACGCTTGGTAGACGGTGTTAAAAAGAGAAACTGCATTCAATTAGTCTCTCTCTCTCTCTCTCTCTCTCTCTCTCTCTCTCTCTCTCTATCTCTCTCTCTCTCTCTCTCTCTCTATCTATCTATCTATCTATCTATCTATCTATCTATCTATCTATCTATCTCTCTATCTCTCTCTCTCTGACTTGGTAGTTTCGATAACGAGAAGTAGTTCGATAGGAAAATTTACGATATGGAGAAAAATTTCTGATTCGACTTTTATCGATTGTATCTGCGAAGCTTTGAGAATTTATAAAATATAATTTGCACAAGTTGAGAATGCATAATGTAATATTACGTTTATTAGTCGAATTGTGAATTTATATGAAAGAATGTGCACATGTACTTACTGACCTACTGTTACAATATTGTCAATTCTTTCTTATACGAGCCACGCTTTAGATATCACTGTGTAATTTTGCTTACGTATAGTAGTATATCTCTATATCAATCCAATTGTCAGCGTAGAAAATATACTATGCTGTGTTATAGTTTAATTTAATTTAATATGAATATGTTGATAGATGGGTTGTTTGGTTATAAAAATTGCATTAAATTATGAACAGTTTCCGAAAGCAACCTATCAAATGTCAGTCTAATAAATTATCTATGCTATTATTTTATACTATAGGTATACTTATTTCTTTTCTATAATCTCTCGTCATCTCTCAGTGAATTTGAAAATTCCATTCTCTCGAAAGATGTCAAATCTTTTCGACGGTAAATTCATGGAAATCGTATGCACTCAAAGTAACAAAAATTGAAATTGTTTTAGTTGCAGACGTGACCGTAACATATATTCGAGGTTTGCCGAGAATCACTGTCCCACTACCATCGAGGAAGGAGCAATGTGTGTTCACCCTGAAACCAATCACTCACACGGTAGGAAACTTTCTCCACATGCTAAAGAAGGAAGATCGTGGTATCGATCGTGCAATCGTGACAACCATCGGTAAGTCCTTGAAGAATTTCTTAAAGATGCAAGACCACGAACCTTTACTCTACGGAAAAATTCTTTACGATGTTCCCAGACGGCGTCAGGATAAGCTCCAACAATACGATCGAGACGTTAATGGAGAACGACTTCCGACTGATAATAAACGACTTGGAGTACTTGGTAAAACCGCCGTTGTATCACAAGCACACCATGGTAAGTCTGTCTTTAAAAGTCGATGATGCTAGACGATTTACGATTCTTTAAAAAATTAAAAAATTCGTGAGCTAAAAAACTCAGAAAAGTGTAAAAGTTCTACTCGGTAATTCGAGACATACCTATCGCATAATTTTTCATTTTTCAAATTTAGAACTTGAGCATATTTCACGAGCGGAAATCTATTTCTTCTAATCCTTTGTTCATTCTGAACCACAGATAATCCGTATTGATATCGTTAATTAGTTAGATCAAATACGAAATGAAAAAATGTATATAAAAATTAATTGAACGTATTCGAACGTTATCCAGGAGAATATGGACAAGTTAGCGGACGTCCAAACGCTAATCGGTCAGCTCTACGAGTCGTTTTACGTCCGAGAACACTATGCTAACATGGAGAAGCAGGTGTTGGTAGAATTGGAAGCCGTTAAATTGGAACTGGAACCTCTCGAACTAGTAAGTTGTTCAAGAAATGAAAATGTCGCTCAACTTTGTGTTCTCAATTCCAAACTTCATTGTTGGCAAACCACCCAGAATTTGTCACTTGTTAGTAATTACCAACAATAAGTTACCGTGAACGATAATCCAGCTAGAAAGATTCGCTTTATAAGCGAGATGTGAACGCTTTATATGTGAGATGAATCTTGCTAATATAATAACTCTCGCTAATTATATTGAATTTATAACGTTTTTCTTAAAATCCTGTCATAATCTTCGCTAAAATCTTCCCTAAAATGTATATCTATAATTATTGTATTCAAAATTGGTAAGTCATTAATTTGTAAGAGGGAGTATATATTGATACAAAAATTTAGGGTCGTCATTTTATTTCCTATTACACTGCAGTGCTCACTTCATTATAAAATTCAAAATAAAATATTTTTACAAGCTTTTATTTATTTTTCCTACGTTTTTTTTGTGGTCGTAATATTTTTTGACATTGAATATCCTGTTAATCAATATACTTTCACTTGTATGAAGAAGCCCATAAATTTTATCTAAATGGACTTTCTTCATCTAAACGAGATGTGGCAAGTACTTGGCCATGGGATATGACAGACTGATCGAAAAAAGTTAGGATTTAGACGTTAAACTGCATATAATTAACCCAGAATAACTGTGTGATTTTAATACTTTTTACATAGTCAAATATTTAACACGAATAAACAGGCATTTTACTACTCGAAAGCAAACTTATAATGGCATGTGTATGCCCCTGCTGATTAAATCTATTCATCGTGAACAGCAAATCGAATTAATCGATCGCAGTTCAGCACGACAATGAACCTGTGTCTCTGGAAACGGCGCAGGGAACGATGTTATCTAAATTAAACGGAAGTTTAAGGAACTTGGAAGGCGTTATTAGCGTACCAACACGTTTCAAAACGCGGCACGCGTGCAAAATTATTCGACTAAACGCGTCTTCTTTCATTGTTCGTTTTCTCCTTGCCGCGATAAATTAATTCATCCTCCGCGAGTTTCGGTTTTAATTATCTTCGTGTATGCACTTGCACGATGGCGTAATTATTTCTTGATTTTTTCTTTCTCTCTTCCTTTGTTTTCTTGCCAGGGTTGTTGTTCTCCGGCTGCATACTACGAAAATTACATCAACGTTCTCATAATCCGCCGCTAGATCGTTCTAAGGCTCGTTTAATTATACAGAATATTTCAGAAAGAAGGTAGGTGACTGTTCTACGTGAAAAAATGAATGGAATTTTTTAGTTTTGGACCTCATTTATAGAAAAGTTGAGTTTGAAGCGATATATTAACTTAAATAAAAATAATACCGGACAAGTGTAGAATACAAAATGGTACTGCTGGAGAATGTAGAACAACATTTTTTTTTTGAGACTTCGCTGCCGAGAAAATTAAGTAGAATTAAGTATAGGATTAATTCAGATGGTTAAATTGTAAAGGCGATTATTTTACAAAGAAAAATTAGACGTGAACAATGTCAAGGCAAGTGAACAATGCCTTTTTTCTTTATTTAAGGCCTTCTTTGAAATACTTCCTTCCTTAGTTAAAACTTCCTATCTGACTTTTTTTTCATTTTTCATGATATGTTGAAATATTGGAAGCTCCCTGTGTTCCTTACTTTTTAAGTAACTAGTAAAAGATTCACGTGCCTGTACTTCACAGATTTACGAGCACAATTTCCTCGTAAACGAATAATTTTCATTCTCCTTTTTTCATCTCTTTTTGTCTGCAGAGTAAGCTTCTGCTCCGATGTATAATGTATATGTATAATATATATTTCGTATAATATATATCTACCCTTTCGAATAATAAATGAAACGAATAATGGATGAAAACGCAGATAGAAATCAGTAATTCGTTATTCGCATCACAGCAGTGTTAAATCTGGAAGTGGAGAAGTACCAGACAATTAATCTGATGATTTAACATCAAAGATAAAGTTCTTACGCGGATATTTATGCTTGATCGTAGACTTAGATAAGCTTGCTGGTTTTCTGAAAAACAAAAATGTGTAATTTATTGGTCGAATCTTGCCGCGATCTTCAAATTTGTATGTTCCATTCTTGCTCTCGCTTCGACTTTTTTCTTCGAAACTGATTTTAATACTTACGAAAGCTTGTACGTCATGAAATTAATACGAAATATTAAGTACGTTAACAATAATTGTTTCGCGTGTTTTTCAAAATTTAAGTAATCTTGTAACAATAAGAAAACACGACTCAATCGAAGCTTGTTCGATTTTTGAAACATCGGTGTTTTATACTATTTGAAGATTAAGATAGTTTCTCTTCTACCGCGATTCACTTTTACGCAAAATATGAAGAAATGTTGGTCTCGCTTTCTTATGCCACTAATTTTATTACAACCTTAGATTCAGATACTTTATCACAGCGGAAATCCGCAGCAGTTACAGTTACAGCTATTAGCATTCTAAATGCAAGTCTCGAAGGACAATATTCATATCGATTTATATAAAAACCATGCGTAATTTTTTATTTATTGCAGAAGCTGCAGGAGTTAGATACCACCGCGGCCAAAAGGACGAACATCTTCATCTGGGTATGTCTCGTCCTAATGTCGATTCAGTTCAGCGGCCTAGCCAGGCTAACTTGGTGGGAATACTCCTGGGACATCATGGAACCGGTTACATATTTCGTTAACTACGGCACCACGATGGTCTTGTTCATCTACTTCGTCGTAACGAGACAGGTTACTAGTGGCTATTCAATTTGCCAGTTCTCATTAATCTCGTTAAATCAACGACTGATTAAATAAACTTATTACCTGACAGGGATGAAAGAGATGTTTGATTACAGCACCTTGATTGCAGTAAAAACTTAAAGAAAGCGTAAAAATAATTTATGACTTAATGCACACTACCGACCATAAGTATTAAAATAGCTACTCGCTACGTTTATTACAAAACTCGAATAGATTTTACTTTATTTGGTATTTTACATTGGGCCCCCGAAGATTATGACGATTTAATGTGACAAATCATACTTAATTCCTGGAATTTTTAATTTCATTTAATTTTATTACTAATATCTCTATCACGGAGAATAGAAAATACGGAGTAAAATTAAGTTATACTCCAATAATCTAACATAAATTATTAAGTCATATTCATTATAATTATAAAAGTTATCTATAATGCAACGATATTATCTGAGAGTTAAACTTCAAATTATGTAATTTACACTCCTTACTATTGACAGGAATACATACTGCCAGACGTGATGAACAGGCGACAGCTCATCACTCTTCACAAAGAAGCAAAGAAGCTTGGCTTCGATCTGAATCAATACAATGCTCTAAAGGACCGAGCCTACGAGTTGGAAACCATCCTGAAGATCATTCGTGGACCTTTATACGAGCACAAGAACCGTATCAAGCAACAGATCAGGGAAAGATCAAGCTCAAGTAGTTCAAGATCACCGAGTTCCTCGCCTAGTCCTAATCCTAGTCCTAGTCCGGAAAGAAGTTTTCCCAACAGGGGAATCTTTCCACAAGAAAACACGTCAAAGAAATCGATTCCGTGGACGGACAAAAAAACGAGGGATGATTGATTCAGGAAGCTGTAAAATCTCTCTCTTTAGAAAAATAAAATTTGCACTCAGGGCGATCATCGAATGATACTTGTAACGTAAAAAAAGCAAGTCAACGTAACGAGAAAAGAAGCAATTACGTTTCTTGTTCGGTGAAAAAGTCTGCAGACGTTCGAATCCTCGACGGAGTCTTCCACGTCGTACGACAACGCTCCTAATCAACGAGTTTGTTCGTGGTATATTTGACTGATGCTCAATCAACGATGTGCATTTGGAAGACGTCGAAAAACGAAATGTATATATCACACAGTTTTTCTACATATGATTATCATTGACTAATGAAACATGTTGAAAAAGAATGGGTGGGTTTAAAAAGCTAGAAAGAGATATTATTGGAATTAGATTCCTTTGTGCAATGTTGATACCTAGGGTACCTCGTCAGAATGAACATTCAATTAAAAATATTTGAAACTAAGATGACTGCTGTGGAAAGATAAATTTGTTTCATGTTCTTTGCTCAGCTGTATAAAACTTCATGGTAAATGTTTAATTTAAATATAATTTAATGTTGAATTTTTAATTTCGAATTCATTTTTGGATGTATATTGGAACGATAATTTAACGATAAATGTATTTTGAACGTTCTATTTTTAACAAATTATCCTGTATATATATATTTATATATCGTACTGTTACCTTTGTGATAAGTTGATATTCTTAGTTGTAATTCACTTATACAATTATTCGCACAAGTATACTTTAAGGAAACTCGACGATCAAAGCTCAAATATTTAATTTAAAAATTGACTTTTCATCGTCGCGTGACGTTATTTTTTCTACAAGACGATAATAGTATATATTTACAGTGTTATTAATATAAATATATATTTCTTTTCTTTTTTTAACTTCATCAACGCGTGAAATTTTATTGTACTGGACGTGGTACAGCGTACTTAGACTTTGTTTCAAACTTCGTGACCTTTCTCATTCATTGCTTCGAAAAAGAAGCGATGTACTTATTCGATAATATATTATTCATGGAACTGATCAATTTTAATTGTTCTATTTTATATCGTTTTTAGTTTAATATTATTGTGTATATTAACTACCGTTTTATTGAAAATTTTGCGAAAACCTCACTCTTACGCAAAGACTTTTATCGAAAAATATTTCAATCTGTGCATTGCTTGTAAGATTGCGTATCCAACAAACTTGCTTAATCCCCATTCATGATAAGATTTTAACATTCAATACTTACTTCACTAAACCTTTTATTCCTACTAAAGTAGTGATAACACAATCAAAAGTTGAGGATCTTTGTGCACCGGTACAAACACATCATCAACATGTCTTATATTAAGCTAAACAAATTGTACGATTAAATCTACTATTACTACTGTTACGCTTTAAAATATTGTTCACGAAAGTATCTCACGTAGGATTAACATAGATTACTATTTCTAAAAACACTCTAAGAAACTTTCTCTCGCTTTCCTAAAAAAAAAATCCCTTATCCGTCCGCTCAAAATAACTCATTATTGTATTCAATGACAACTGTATTAGTATCTTGCATTTAAAATCATCGTATGCGTTATTAAATACTTTTCACTTCTTTATGTAACAGTATTTGCGACAAAAATATTTCTTGTTACGAATGAATGACAGATTTTAAATAATCGAAAATCATATGTTTCAAAATTCAGCGCTAAGAATGTGACTACAATGGCTCATGAATCTACTTGAACATTTACCATAGAAAACTTTATGCGTATTAAAATGTATTGTGAAAAGACAAGGCTGTCGCTATTATAATAATCAAACTTGAAATTAATCTGAAAATGTGTATAGAAGATACTTATTTCAGATATATATGAATTTAACGAAAAATTAATATATAGCATGAGTAGTCATGTTAAACATCTAATAAACGTTAAGGATAGTTCCATCGACTATCGAAATGTATTGATTTCGTTAAATCAAATATTTCTGTGATCTTCGTTGATAAGAATTGCTTCCATCGAATATCTTGCAATTCTTATCAACACATTCAGATTTTTTCAAGCTTTACTAATACGATCATGATAACCATGTCTCATTGCAGTTTTAATGACATTTCAAAATCTTTCGTCTAACACATAAGGTTTCTATAAGTGTACAGATACTTTCATGAGCCACTGTATATTTTCATGTTCTGTATTCGTTATACGATAGTGCGTATAATATATGTAGATGTTTACTGTACACTTCTCCATATATCTCAACGACTACCACTAGCCAGTGGCAAACTGTAGGGAAAGCGTGTTTAAAAGTATACTGATAGTTATTATACCGCTAGCAAGTTAAATAGTTTATCGTACACGTGATTAAACACGATATCAGAGCACTTCTTCCCGAGCACAGGAATTGAAAAAGTCCATGATTTACTTTTTTCTACATTTCATTTAAATGCTATTCTCCTTTCTATAAGTATATTTTAGCAAAATTATCTAGTGCCAATGTTCTCAAATCATTGTTGCTACTACTCGCAAGCGGTAATTTAACGACTTTTTATAAATTGCGATTCGAGATTGAAAGATAATCAGCAGGCAATATACAGGGTGTTTTACTGTAAAACGTTATGAGTACATCTTGTATATTGATTCAATGTAATTCAATATTATCGAGAAGTGCACCAAACGGATACGTGATAATTGTGATTCTAATGTCGCTTCCCAAAAACGAATTACTTGTCGTCGTAAAACAAAAAGAAA